GTTTGATATGTGATGCTCTAAAAGCTCATTGCATTCCTGGAGAGCCCTCTTAGTGCCCACAGAGACACTGTAGACATGTGTATTACTATGTACGATTTTGCACAGAGTTTGGAAGTCTTTTTTGTTCTCTGTTAAAATCAGGTTGTGGCCCTTGTTCACACGTTATTGAAACACGAAAACACCAACGTGAAGACGGTTCTTGTTGTCAGCCCTCTTAACACAGTCCTCAACTGGGTCAACGAGTTCAACATGTGGCTGAAAGATGTTGGCAGTGGAGAGGAGGTTAATATTTTTGAGCTGTCCAGGTAATGTTTCATCTTCATTTTATATGTGAATTTTTAAATGTTTAGAATAATTTTCTGTGAAATATATTCTGTATTTTCATGCGTAGTTATGTATTCGCTAACCTTTATTCAGTCTGAGTCAATCCTTATCTGCTGTTTTAGTTAGAATTGTAGAGATTTATATATCATTTAATGTTTTGGACATTTAGTAGGACTTTTTCGGTGGAGGACATATTTAATAGTGCTGTTCACAGTTTCAAATCAATGTCAGATTGTCAAAAATTAAAAACTTTGTTGTTTAATGTCTTAATATTACCAGCATTTTTAAATGAATAAGGTTTTCTTAGTTTGGGCATGGAGAATGGGAGGAGTAAGACATTGTTCTGGGTTGTTGCACTGTGTAGAAAATGTTTATCTGCATTTTAGGGGTCCTTGCTGCCTACATCATCGGGGCGATGATGTAGGCAGCAAGGACCGCTGAAACGTAGGTAAACTTCTACTAGACCATGTGGCGCAACAACTTAGAAGACATCCATCTTCAAACCTACTGCCATGAAAGCCTCAAATCGTACACATTAATAACAGAATTTTAGTGGGGAAACCACATAGAAAGTGGCAGTGTGGAAGACTGGGAAGGGGAAAGGAGGAGAATATTAAAATGGATCCTACAGCAGCGGAATGTAAGCGTGTGAACTGGACTGAAATAGCTCAGAATTATGTCCGATATTGGACTTTGTTGGTAGTGGTGCTAAAATTCAAGTGTGTGGTATGAGAGAGTTGGTTAATTAGTTTGTTATTGCAATAGTTGTTATTAATATAGTTCTTGTGGGTCTTTTATTATTGTTGTTATTGTTAAATGTCTGTTTCTGTTGTTCCAATGAATGAATATGTTTGCTGTTTAGATACAAGCAGAACTATGAGCGTATGTATCAGGTGAAGGAATGGCAGGATTGTGGAGGTGTTATGGTGATTGGATATGACATGTTCCGTATCTTAACTAACCCACAGGCCAAACGGATGCGAAAAAATGCTATGGAAACATTCCAGTCATCTTTAGTTGATCCAGGTAAGGTTTATTTTTATATGACGATTGCATCTCTCCAGTGACTGTCACTTCTGAGAGGAGACTGTAAAACTTTACGTGGCTGAGTTATGTGTGGCTTAACGACATGGGCCAGCAAGATTACAGGAATTTGTCTCCTCGGCAATCTGACCTATAGTACAGTTCACCGTGGGAGTGGGAACTAATCATAATTTTTCTGTCCTGGATGAGTTGAAATTTTATTGTTGTTTGGAGATGGGGACTAGGTTTATCGACTGGGTTCGACAGAGTAGGTTTTAGCTGAAGATGGACACAGATTATGGTCTCTGAAACGTTCATTTTAATTTTAATTAAAATTACAGTGCTGGATAATGTCCAATAGGTCGGCAATCACAGTCAGAACTTATTGTTTTATAATGTCAGTTTTGATGCAGAAATCAGTTTACAGACACACGTATGCATTGTATTCTAAGTCAGATATGAGCCTGATAAATGTGTGTTATATTTCTAGCATTATCCTTTCTCAGGTCCTGACCTTGTTGTGTGTGATGAAGGCCACTTGCTCAAAAATGAGGATACAGCATTGGCCAAAGCCATGAGAAGGATAAGAACATTACGCCGAATCGTGTTGACGGGTACACCGTTACAAAATAACCTCAAGGAATGTAAGTTTGTTGAACCTATGCACTGTTTATGTAACTGTTTTGGTTCTAAAATGTGTTTTTAAAAGTACAGTATCAATCCTAGAAAGCTATTCTATTGCTATATCTAGTGATGAAGAATAGGAGACTATTATATGTGATTCACATATAAGATCATGCGAGACTTCACATTTGTGTAGAAGTATCAGCTTTTCTTATAGTACCTGCTGTCTTAAAGATATGTGAGTTTTCGTAGTTAGGCTAACAGGAGCTATTACAATACAACTGTAAAGGTAAAGTAAAGCTGTCCTGATATACGCAATGTAGGTGCTTGGGGGTGAGAGAAGGTTTTGCTTCTACTCATTCTTAACGTCAGCACTAGATAGGGTTGAGTGGTCTGTGTCACCCCCTGCTGGCACTTTACCTCAAGAAAGGACCCTGGTACCCATTAGATAGGAGGCTGAGTGGGCCCCATAGCCAGTCTACTGTAATAATATAATTTATTAAAATTTTATTACATGATTTTTACTAGTATGGGTTCTGATTATATCACATTTTTTAGATAAATCCCTAATGTTTTGCACCGTTGCCACACTTGTAATATTATTGTTAACTTGTATGCGGATATGTGAATTGGATGGGCGCCGAAGTGATCCTAGCTCTGTGCCTCATTTTTCTATTAATCCACCATCAGCCTTGTGCCTGCAACAAACCACAGTAACCTACTTAGTGAGATCTCATGATAATCACCTGGTTTCAGGAAATGCCTGTCCAAATGGCAAAATCCTGAAAAGCTCTTTGTTAAAGAGCTCTTTTTTTTAGCTGTTTGTGATTGTTTCACATTTGTACATAGTTTCAGGAAAATCAACCATTTGATGCAGAATTTATTAAGGGGAATAGACACACAGACATAATACCATAAGTTAATTTTCCATAGGAAATAAGGAAGAAATAGAATTTGAGAACACTGTATTATAGATCTATCTCGTCTAGCCATAAAGGTGTGAAGAATTAAATTCCTGTGCACACCTCCCCCCCCAGGTGCCACATGTGACTGTGGTAATTTCAATTTTGTTTCATTTACCAGATCATTGCATGGTGCAATTTGTGAAGCCAAACTTGCTTGGTAATCGGAAGGAGTTTCAGAATCGATTCATGAACCCCATTTCAAATGGACAGTTTGAAGACTCAACAGCACACGATGTGAAGATAATGAAACGCCGGGCCCATGTTCTACACAAGATGTTGGAGGGATCAATTCAGGTAGAATTGTTTACTGTTTTATTTTATGTAAATATGATGTGTAGATTCTTCACTTACATTACAAAATTCCGCATAGACCGTTTTCATTATGTTGTGTTCTGCCACGATAATTAATACAAAGCAACATTTTATTGTTGAAGTGAGTTAAAATTAATTTTAATTGTCTTTATCCTAGTTGGTATATTAAGAAATTGGCCTGAATATGTTATTTTAATACCAAAACATGTCTTCAAAAAATTTAATTTTAAGAATTAAGTAAGTGTTTTGAAGTACTTAACTAATATATAAGGTGCTGCAGTTCTTGGATGAAACTAATTTTCCAGCACTGCCACCGTTATTTTTATTTCAATGGATAGTGTGTTCGATGATCTCGCCAACACACACGTCCGTACCCACATAAGTGCACGCAGTCATCTAGGTCTTCCTCTTGTTCTGGTACCCTCAACTGTAGCTTCCAAAAACTGTTTCGTCCTTCTTTCATCTGCCACTCGAACATGTCCAAACCATTTCAATTGTTTTTCTTCCAATTTTGTTTTAAGTGAATTAATTCGCACCTCTTCTCTAATTTTGGTGTTCCTAATTCTGTCCCTGCTCGTTTTCCGTATTGATTTTCTGAGACATTTCATTTCCACCCTTACTAATAAGAAATAAAATGTTAAAATATTGTACTTTCTTCTGTTGCAGAGGTTTGACTATTCTGTGTTGACTCCATTTCTACCACCAAAACAAGAGTATGTTATTTCAATCCGCTTGTCTGAAGTTCAAATTAAGGCATATCGATATTACCTGGAACACTTGAGTAAAGGTGGGGAGAGGGGCAAGGGAGCACAGCTTTTTACTGACTTCCAGAATCTATCGAGAATATGGACACATCCGAGGGTATTGCAGATGAGTGATGACAAGGCTGAGAAAACTGCAGAGAGAAAGGTAAAATTGATAAATTATGAGAAATTGTAAGTCAGAGTTGAAGAAATTCAGCAAACATAGTTAGCTTGAAAGATATTTATCTGTATAGTTATTAAGTAACCCTGAAGTATATTGTTTGTTCCATAGGAATTAATTTTGAGGTAATTAAGGTGGAAAATAAGTATGTTCCAAAATCTACAGGTGTGTTAAAATAGAAATCCGCTAGATCCGATTTACCATGCGTGATGTTTGGTGCAGAGACTGATTTTTAACTTGATGTAATGAACTTTTACAATAATAAATTTTTTATAATTTTTCAGCGTTTAATGGAATCGGATTCAGAGGGTTCGTTGAAAGATTTCATTGATGATGATGACGAGACAACAGAATCATCAGATGGTTCTTCCTCGGACAAGACAGATACGCAAGCTGCAGAAGAAGGAAAGGCGAGCAACCAAAAACGTGTCGGCAGATACACACGAAGTACATGTAACAATCTAGTTGAAGGTGAGCTAACTGTGTTTATGTGTTGTATGTGTCTGATAACACACACACACATATTTACAAAGTATGTTGACAGGCCGGTACTCTTTCCTGTGTTTCGGATCTGCTGTTTAAATCTTTGGAGGTGTAGCTAATACGAGGCGCGTCCCAAAAGTAAGTTTCCCTGGGGCCGTTTACAGAAACAAAACACAATTTCATGGAAATATTTATTGCAACAGATACAGCAAGTGTCCAGCTATTTTTCAACATATTCGCCACCGGAATTGAGACATTTGTCATACCGTAGGACCAACTTTTGAATACCTGTGTCGTAGAAGTCGCCCGCCTGGGATTGGAACCACTGTGTGACAACCATCTCCGCCTCTCTGTCATTCTCAAAACGCTGACGCTGACAGGACAGGAATTTCTTGAGGTGTAGGAAAAGATGGAAATGACTGGGAGCGAGGTCCGGGCTGTAGGGTGAATGATCAAACACCTCCCAGCTGAACTCCTGCAGGAGACTCGCTGTCCGGTCATTGCTCTATCACGTACGCACAGTCGCTTCGCTCAATATAAGGTTTGCTAGCTGTAGGACGAGTGGGAAACTTACTTTTGGGACGCGCCTCGTAATATGCTGAGCTAATAAAAGACTTAACTGTGTTGTCTTCTGTCTACCAAGACATTATCGGTTTGATTGTTTGTCTTTCCATCAGAAGTCTCGGTGTATTTGTGGATTTTGTGTTGTGAGAAGATTATACTGATTAGTATTCCCATTCCCATAGAAGAATGTACAGTGAGCCCCAAAATGTTGTATAGACAGCAGCAACTTTGGTGGCTGCTTGTCAGTCAGTTTATTAAAATGCCTTGATTTCATTCATTAAATGTGTATATATACACATTTTTTGGACACATTATATAATTTGCTGGTTTGTTGCCACCCTTATCCCATCTGACCTCTATTCCTACTAAATCTAACTTGCGTTATGCTCGTTCTCTCGACTCCTGACATTTCACTTTCCAAATTGCATGTCCACATTCTTTTGCTTCGTTCATTCATTCATTCTAAGGCCTTGCTTAGCATTTTATAACATATTGGAGGCCCAGCACATGTACATCCACAGCTGCTTATTTAGCATGTTCATAGCTGACCTTCACGTCTGGAGGTCTTTTAGTCTGTTTACATTGCTTACTTCTGAATGTTGTATGTTGTAGAACTGGAAAGTGGGAAGGATGGTAAAGATGAAGATGAAGAGAAATCAAACCACGTGGCTTGGTGGAAGCAGTTTATTGATGGAGATGAACTTGATGATATAAAATACAGCGGAAAATTAACTCTGCTGTTTTCCATACTTCGGGAGTGTGAGAAAATCGGAGATAAAGTGTGAGTAGACAGTAGTTCTGTGTGTGTGTGTGTGTGTGTGTGTGCATTAAAAAATGGCTGTCTTCTGGATTGTAGCACCGTGTAGTCTGGTAGAAGTTTACCGACGTTTCAGAGGTCATCCGCCCAGCACTACGACTATGAAGATAGCCATCTTCGGACTCACGCCATGAGAATGCGCGTAGACTCTTTGCTATGAATATGTCACTTATGAAGTGTTTGTTTCAGGTTGGTATTTAGCCAGTCTCTCTACTCGTTGGACCTCATTGAATATTTTTTGGCACGTGTTGATTCTGCTACACAAGATGGAGAAACTAAAGAGTCGCTGGATGGTAATACAGGCTCGTGGTCTGTAGGATTGGATTATTTTCGTCTTGACGGTTCAACATCATCTGAGAATCGTAATGTCTGGTGCAAGCTCTTCAACCGTGAAGAGAACCACAGGTTTGTAATTAAACCTTTAAGGTTTTTCTTTAAAACGTCCTCAACTCAGTAAGAAGTGGCTAGTGTTGATATCTTGAGGCCATGACATGGTAAGGAATTGTTGTTATACTGCCGTCTCTTAAGAGTTTTCTTTAAATATGTGTACCAATCTTATACTTCTGCTTCGAGTATTAGGTCCTCGGGCCTCTGCCATCTTCAACTGAATTCATCTGTCCAGCTTGTCTTAAGTGTTCCTGTTCTTCTGTGTCCTTCAAGTTGTAATTTGACAGTATCTTTGAAAATCTGTTTTTATTCATTTTTAAGAATCTAAAATTGGCGTGGGTCTTGTGCCGCTTGGTCGCGGGGACCGTGGGTTCGAATCCCACTCAAGCCATGATAAACTTCTATAAATAATAATAACAACAACAATAACAACAGTAGTCTGTAATTACACTTGCAAACAACAAAGTACTTGGACCCAAGTAGTATTTGATCCTATGACCATGTGCACATTAGGCTGTCATTCTAACCTATGACCTAAATTACATGTTATTTTTCTCCTTTGAACTTCCATCACCTGAATATTGTGATAGGTTGAATTATGTGTAATAATAGTTTCTTGTTAACTTCTGATCATAACTTACATGCCACAGACTTTTGCTTTGAAAAAAGGAGAATTTGTTGATTTATTGAGTGACTTTTAAGGATTGACTCTACACCAGAAAGTTTGTTTGCACGTAACATTTGTTGTGACTTTCAGGGCTCGCTTATTCATCATTTCAACTCGTGCTGGAGGTTTGGGCATCAATTTATATGCTGCAAACCGTGTTATAATTTTTGATGCATCATGGAATCCATCGCACGATGTTCAGAGTATTTTCCGAGTGTACAGGTTTGGCCAGAAGAAGCCATGCTACATATACCGGTTTTTAGCACAGGTATGCTCTATGAAATAAAGAAGGATTTTCAAACTGTTGTCTGTTATAATTCAGACGCAACAGGCAGAAGGAAAGCAGCAAAGTCAAAGGAGTTAAAGAAATTCTTATGGTTTCTGACAGCTGCCACTTTCTTGTCAGGTAAATGGTCTAGTTTGGGACTCAGCTTTGCGACTCTATAAGGAATATGAGCCAGGCGCAGTTTTCACACAGTTCTGTTACATTTCCTCAGCTTCTGTGGTTGCAAAGCTGAGTCCTGAACAGTAATTCATAAATACGGAAGAGAATGTTTGTGTTCAAGCAGACTGGCTGTCATATAGACTGCAGAACATGCAGGACCAGAGGAGAGTACAGCAGAGAAACAGAGCTGTCGGAGGCTATGAGTATTTGTGCGTTAAAAGTACTTTATGAAGTTGTTTTTATGTCTGTACCCTCATGAATGCCTTTGGTGATGAAGTGTATATAATAATTTTAGCGTCAAAAAAAGGTAGGTTTAGGAGAAGGTACATGAAACACCACACATCTCTTACACTAATGTTGTTGTTACTGCATGCTAGTTCTGGCACACTGCTAACAAGGTTCAAATGAAGTATTGTGCAGATTACAATTAAGAATGTGGTCATTTTAAGTGAATTTGGTGTAAAAACAAATATGATGTTGTAAGATTTGAGGTTTTCACAACGGTGAGTATGAAGATTTCTGTCTTATGGGTTGTTGCTCTGTGTAGTCTGGTCGATGTTAACCAACGTTTCAGAGGTCATACTGCCTCCGTCATCAGGGGGATTTATCGCAGTATGACCTCAGAAACGTTGGTAAACATCGACCATACTACACGGCACAACAACCCAGAAGACAGAAATCTTCAAATATGATGTTGCTGACAGACTGGGACTGATGAGTTCCTTCGTTAATGTGACACGCATTTGAACATAAGGGTGTAAGGAGGATTAAAGTGAAACATAATTTGCCAGTTGTTCTTGTAAATTACCCTATAAATAATTTATTCCTTTGTTTTATTTTAACTGTTTCAACATGTTTGAAAGCTAAGATAGTACCTACTCAACTCTCCACTGTGTGGGTCAGTTATAGCCACTCGTTTACAAACAGCAGTTGTCCACGACAGTTTTTCATGTGGATGAAGTATCTGATGAGTAGAATTTTTGTCCGACTGATGAACTCAGCCAACATTTGTTAACTCCTGAACATAATTCATTGTAGGGTACAATGGAAGAGAAGATCTATGATAGGCAAGTGACAAAGTTGTCCCTGTCGTGCCGAGTCGTGGATGAACAGCAAATTGAGAGGCATTACAACATGGCTGATCTTCAGGAGCTTTACCAATTTGATCCTGAGCAGAAGACCAAACGGCCAACTCCAATTCTACCCAAGGTATTTTTTTCTGCTAAAGCTCAGACATTGCGTGTTTGTTATATACTTAGTACTAGAAAATAAATGTCATTTGATTTTGTTTTGCTTGTTTTGTTTCTTTCATTATGAACTAAACTAACTGTGGAGCATTTCAAGTACTTGGGAAGCATAGTCACGACGGACGCTCTATGCACCAAGGAAGTAAAAGCAAGGATAGCCATGGCCAAGGCAGCTTTCGTCAAGAAGAGGATACTTCTCCCTAGCAAGTTGGGCTTGGAGATGAAGACGAAACTAGTGAAGTGTTACGTATGGAGCAGAGACTTGGACACTCAGGAAGAAGGAACAGAAATACCTGGAGAGTTTCGAAATGTGGTGTTGGAGAAGAATAGAGAAGATCAGGTGGACGGATCGAGTGACCAACGAAGAAGTATTGAGGAGAGTCAACGAGCAAAGATTACACGAAGGAAAGCTAACTGGCTGGGACATATTATGAGAAGGAATGGGTTACTGAGTGATATCACCGAAGGCCAGGATGAAGGAAAGAGAGGACTAGGAAGAAGATTGATACAGCTAACCGACGACCTTAAACAAGGAAAGAAGATGACGTTCCAGGAATTAAAGCGAGAAGCCGAGAATAGGGACAACTGGAGAGCTCTTTTTGGGCAGAGCAATGGACCTGTCGTAAGACAGAACACTTAATAATAATAATAGAGCACATTCCTTATCAAGAAACTTATAGTCATTCCTTTTATGGGACGCAAAGATTCAGTCTTATTCTGAGCCGATTAAATCTACACCTCTTATTATGGGCTAATCGTGTCCAATCTATTCAACTCAAGAACCACTGGACAGATTGGAATAAAAATTGGTATGGAGGCTGTGCCATTCTGTATGAACTCAAAATTGTACTTTCGAATATCGTATGAACATCGATAACAAAATGTAAAATGAGGAAAGCTGTAAGGTTGACATTGAGGTACTGCAATCTGGTGGTCTTGGTGGGAATTCATTTGTTTGCGATGGTCGCCGTTGTTACCATTGGCAACCACTGTTATGTGTTCTTTGAATGTTTACTGTTATTCCCGTGGTAATTGTGGTTTGTATTGATGTAAGTGGGAATCAGTCAAAGTGTTGGAACAGGTTAGGAAACATTAGTTTTGGTTAAGTCAAGTCAGGTTCGTTAGGTTAAGACAGGTTAGGTTTGTTTGTTTAGTTTCAGTTAAGGAAGTTAAGTTAGGGTAGGTGTTTAAATATTATTTTTGAATGTGGGAATTATGACATTTTTAATACTGGATTTTGAAATTTTGAAAAATTTTAAAATTATCTGAGTTTACAAATTTTGAAAATTTTTAAATTTTAAAAATTTTGTAAATTTATTCTGTGGGACAAAGCTGATGTAATATCTCTAAATTCACAGTGCAAAGAATGCATGATTAAATGAGTATTCTGATACAGAACCTAATGAACATGCAGTGCATGAATCTATCAAGAATTTCAAAGAAACAAGTTCTGTATGTGACGCTGCATATCTGAGAGGCCTTGTGTTCTTACCGAAAAAAATTAATGGCTATCTCTGATTGTATGCTGCAGAGTCATAAAGAAATCAGCACTTAAATGTATTAACTATTCTTTAAATTTATTATCAAAGTTCTTGTTTCACGTAAGAGTTGCTTGAAAATGTTCTTCAGAGGTAGGACCATTCACTGTGCGCTGCTTTCTTTAAATGAGTGAATGACTTTTTAGGATCGTCTGCTAGCTGAGCTGTTGAAAGAACACGAACATTGGATTGTTACATACCATGAACATGATTCTTTGCTTCAAAACAAAGAGGAGGAAGAGCTGAACGAGGAGGAACGTAAGGTTGCGTGGGAAGAGTATGAGAATGAGAAGAAGGGCAAGACCATTCCACCAGGTATGTCAGCACGAGATTAATATCATGTGATTTGAAGCTTTCACGACGACAAGAGTCGATAAAATCTTCTCTGGTAATCATCCACATCATTTGGTTGCATGAGAGACGAACATTTCAGGAACCATTTCTGTCCCCTTCGTTAGGGTTCTGATGACATCAGAACCCTGATGGTTGGGACAAATGGTTCCTGAAATGTTGGTCTCCGCATGCAACCATTTGACGTGGCTTATTGCCGTAGAAGATTTTATTGAAATTAATATTAGTTCTGTAACAGTGATTTCCTTAATTTCTTGTTATTCACATTTTGGTTTGTTTTGTAGTACTTGCAACTTTTTCTTCTATTTCAGTAATTACTGGTGTACCCGGTCTGAACATACCAGCTCTTCGTGAAACCTTACGGAACGAGGTCAGTACATATTTTTTTACTGTGATTTTAAAAATTATAAATTACCTTGAAATCATTCAGATGTTGCAAGACTTGATTTGACATTTTTAGATCTCATAATGTTGTCAATTATATGTATTTTTGTCATGCTCTTCAGTTATGATAAGGAATCTTGAATTGGTTATGTGACATGCTGTTTTAAATAGTGGATGATTACAAGTTGTCTGAGAAATTTCAGACATTTATTATGAAACAGCGGACACGCTGGAATTCTGGCTCGTGTCCCAGTTCATACAACACAAATTGGATGTTGTGTTTCAACGCGTTGGTGAGATCACAAACTTCCTGAATCACTACAGTAACGTCTCATTATAATGAATTTTTGTAGGTTGACAAATTATATTTGTTCAAAGAATATTTGCTCTAATGAAGGAAAACAAAAATAAATTAATGACTTGAGGTTTATTGTTTTTAGAAAGATTATTGAATTTTTGTTAAGTGACATTTCACCAATTCGTTGTGGTACCAGTGAGCCTTGAACAGTTACAACATAAATTACAATGATGTAACATTTTTGTGATAAAATTATCTCTATATTTTAATATTTTAATATTAATTTTTTACTAAACGTTCCAATTTGTAAATCGATCATTCGATGCGGAACGTGAAATGATATTTTAAATATTTTATATTTTATTATCTTATTAAAAATTGTGATTTGACAGAAAATATTAACCTAATTCACAATATGACGCAAATATACTACCTTATGAACAAAATTATCTCTATCTGATGCCACTCTTTCAATTGATTCTTCATTCTAACTAATTTATTATAATTGTCGTGTCGATCATGAAAGAGCATTGGCCGTTGCTTCTGAAAGGTTGGTCATCTGTTTTCAGTTGTTCTGTTTTGCTTAGTAAGTGGAATGCTCTCTGACTGCTATAAGCTTGTGACTTCACACTTTTCATTGTTTGGAGTTCAAATGAAGAGGTGAAATCTAGGGATGGGGAAACTGCTCTGCTGTTACGAGAAGCTTACGACACTTGAAAGAAAGTTCATTCTGATATGCTGTTGGAAAGAAGCAGAATTCAGCTTTGATGCATACATAGCCACAGACAGTACACATCTTTCAGTTCAGTATGATATCCAAGAAATTCTAGAGTTTTTCATTGCTATTGCCTGATTTTCAATTCATCAGTTTTTTTCTTCGTAATTAATGTTTGATGTTGCTTAGATGTTTGTAATCATTCTGTATATTAACAGAATCTTACTAAGGGATTCGTTAATGGTTTTTATTTCTGAATAATATCACTTGAACTAAGCAATGATCATTCATTTTAAGAGTGCTCTGTAAAGCACGTCAAACATGAAACACGCTACTTAGTGCAGTGTCAACATACGATCCCATTTAGGTTACCCAGACTTTTGAAATATTTATAAGGGTTGTCAAGTGTATAGGCATTTTATGTGATGATTTTTGTTTGTTTAGAACCCTCTTATAACAGAAGATGAACTTCAACAAAAAGTGAGCGCTGCTATTGGCCGGATCTTTGAGTACCTGAACACTTCACAGAATACGGTACCCGCACAAAACTACCAGGTTTGTTAATCCTTTGACATATAGGATATTTGAAAGGAACCTTACTGCGAGGCCGGCAGATGTTTAAATGTTCGGGCCTCATAAATGTAACACTTTTGTAGAAAAGATTGTAAAATCAAACAATTATCAAATTTCACAGTGTAACATGTAATATGATAACAGTTTTTAATTGTACATTAAGAAGGACTTCCTAAATATATTATTTAATTACTGAATGAGTACTAAATTGACATTGAAAACTGATAAGGGTTGGTCCATCAGGTTGGGAGCTAGACCCAGAACTATAAACTGTTTGCCGCAAAATATCATGGAGGATATTGAATTTTGACATATCCGTGCAATGGGTGAAAGGCCATGAAATTTTGAACTTGGAATATCTGGAGTCTGTACAGGGGAGGTCAACTGACATCAGTCATAAGAAAATTACCAAAGTTAGATTTAGTGGAAGTTTAAAAGATCAGGTAGGAGAAGGGTAGCAATGAGATATGAGAATCTGCCGCCTGAAAAACCAACCGTTTTACATTGCGACTTATATACTAAAAGTGTTGCCACCTTTTATATGGCTGTGAAATTTCTCTCAATATGAGGGAAAAACATGAATTGTGTTTGGAAATAAAAAGTCAAGGAAAATATTCAAATGTGTAAGAGATAGATTCTGTGATGAACGGAGAACACGAGGCAACGTAAGCTTCAAGAGTTGTACAGGGCATCTTGTATTACTTTTATAATTAATAAGATTAAGGTACACTGGTAATGTAACTTAGATGGGGAAACCTGAAATGTGTCTATGTGGAAGACTGAGGAAAAGGCGGGAGGGTGGTACTGAAAAGGATAAGTAAAGGAGGTGGAATATTTACCAGGATATTACGTACAATGACAGAAGCACCATCATCATCATCATCATGTTCTGGTACCTTACTCTAGTAATAGCTCCTTCATCTGTCGTTATTATGCTTCTTGTGTATGATTAAATTGTAAATTTACTTAAATCTGCTGTAAGATATTGATGTTCTTGGAGGAGGAATTCACTGGCTACTTTATGCAGGATTGCATTTTAGTTAGATGTTAAGGTGGCGACTGACTTGTAACATTTACTCGTAATGTAACATTCGCGGCGAGCATGTTACATTACACCACAACTGGTGAGGCGTATCGAATGCTCGTTTTGAACGCTCGGCTCGACTGTGCTCATGTGTGCTCCATTCATTTCATTCAATATGTCGGACGTGGAGGTTGTGTTATCTTTGTTTCATTTAATACGCTACTCTTATCTAAAGAACTCGTGAATGCTCGTTACGACGCCGCTCGACTGACTGACTGACTTGTAATGTAACACTCAAAGGGATTCGCGAAAAAACCGACAACACGATGGAGCGCCCGCGAGCGTGAGCGGCTC